TTCTTGTACATTTACAATATTTACTTGTTGACGTTTTCGCTCAATAAAAGCTGATATTCTATGATTTAATTCATTCGACGAAGCGCGAATTTGAACAAGATTTGGATCAATTATTATTTTAGACTCTTCTTTTTCTTCTTCTTCTTCACTATCATATTCTACTGTTGTCTCTATTATTTCATTTGTTATTGTAATATTTTCTGATTCCTCAAAATCAATTGCATCATGAACTGTACAAAATAATGAATATACTCAATGAATAAATATATATAATATTTTTAAACATATATAAGAATATTCAATTTTTTGATTTAATTAAAAAATAACAATATATATAAATAAAAATCACAAATTAGGTAAATAATTGTAAAATTACAAACTATGATTAATAATTTATTAATATTTTAATATATCTAATATAAAACTTATTTTCAAATCTTCTACAAATTTTAACAATTTTGCAATATATTAAACATAATTTATATAAATTTTTTATACAATTTAATAAATTTATTTAAAATTTTAAAAAAATTTACAGAATTTTTGTTTGTATTTCTTATCTTAATGTAATCTAATCTAATCTAATTAAATGTTCTTTAAAAATATTATAACATAAAAATATCATTTACTATTTGACCAAGCACATTCTTTGTTTTCCTTCCATTGCATTTCTTGTGTGTCGTATATTTCTTTTTTCCAAATCGGAACAGATGACTTTAATGCATTAATAGCATATTCAACAGCTTTTAATGATTCTTCCCTATGGGGAGATGAAATTGCAATTACTACACTTGCTTTAGATACTGGTACTTCTCCTAAACGATGATATATAGCAATATGATGGACATTCCATTGAGAACGAATTTTTGAACATATGTTATTCATTTCTTTTAATGCCATTGGTTCATATGCTTCGTATTCTAATTTTAAAACCTGAAAAACAAACATTTGAGTGATATATCTCTAGACTTATAAATAAAAATTTAAATAGATAAATACCTTTTTGTTGTCAAAATTATCACGAGTAATACCAATAAAATTTGATATAGCTCCACAATTAGATGCAGTTACTAAATCAATTATATATTCAATATTTAATTCTTCTTGTTGCAATTTCACGATATTCTTTGTAGTATCCATTCTAACCTAAAAATACCAAGTTTATATTTTTTACACTAATTATATTAATATTAATTCATATAACATATAGGAAAGTCAAACCTCCGCTAAGTGGTGGAATAACAGCAATTTCGTCTTTTTGCGAAAGTACTAATGTGCTATTTAAGGGAACAAATTCTTCGTTCACTGCTAGGATTAAGGTATCACGAATATTTTCTAAATTAAAATGAGTTATTATTTTATCTACCAAATCAGTGTATGATAATTTTTGTGGAACAACAATGTACCATTCTTTTTTCCCTGTTATTTCTCTTGCTTTAGCGAAAAATAAAACTTTAACTTGTATTTCAATAGCACTGTTATCCATTATAAAATATAAGCATAGAATAACAATGTAAATTTATAAAATACTTTTTAATATCTTATCATAAGATATATAATTATAAAGATATCAAATCATATTATGTAATATGTAATTAATCCAAAGATAATATACGTATTATTTAAAACTTGAAAGAAGGTTATGTTTTCATTAAATTACTTATCTAGTCAAACTCATGTCTATGTATATAATATAAAAAATATATTTAAAGATATTACGTTTAAAATTAATAAAAAAAATCAAAAATATAAATAAATAAATATAATTTGTTATTAAAATTAAATATTTTAATATTTTTTATAATAAATTATGAATCTGAATATGGTGTAAGCATGAGATATGCAATCTAAGCTATTAACTTTTAAGCGGCAGAATACAAAATAATTGAGTACGTAATTATAATTAAAATAAAAACATTTTGGATTTGAATTATCATTTATTTGTATAAAAAATTATAACAATTATAAATATTTTTTGTTTATATATATTATAGTTTCCAAAATATTTAATAGAATGGAAATATTCTATAGATCGACTTGAAGTACCTTGTATGATATTAAGGTCAAGTGAGAAATGAGGTCAACATAGCAAGGAATCGTACTATTCTGCTTGTATAATATTTTATGTACGAAAACTAATATATTTTTTAAAATATATTTTATTTACATTTAAAAAATATTATGATTTATAATTATTTTATTGGATATTTTGCAAAAATTTTACTTATATAAATATAATTCGTGTCATTTTTAAACTTTAAAGTTTGAAACATAGAAATCTAATCTTATAGATATTATGAATTAGAAATTTTATAAGACATACAAGCTATTGTTTTAAAGTAATATGTTAACAGCAATATGTTGATGTGTCAGTAAGTAATGGCCTTGGATAAACATTTAAATGTATGCATCGTGCGTATAGCACAATGTGTGCTCACGCTTAAGTATAGATGGATAGCCTGTTAACCCGAAGTTTAGAAAAATGCAGGGATCTAATTCGTTCATTCGAATTACTGTCAAACAATATGAAAAAGAATATTCCTGTAGCATTTAATTAATTCTCTTAAGAATTATTTAAATATTATAATCAAGAATCACATAACATATTAAACTAGTTGACAATAATTATATATATTTTTATATATATATATATATATAATATTTTAAAGATGTTGTCTTATCCAAATGCTGGATTGTGATTCAATAACAGAAAAGATTCTAAGATGTTAAATAAACATTAAAAACTTAAATTTTTAATTAATTTTTATCTAAAAAAAAAAAAAAAATATTAAATAAATTCTCTAAAATTTTCTATTGTAAATTTTTCTATTTATAAATTTTCATTATTTAAGTTTTTTTCTATTATTTAACATTTAGTATTAAATAATTATATTTAAAAAAATTAATAAAATTTGAATATTGCCCACAATTATTTTAATATATCTCATAAATGGAAGTTTAAATTAGCCGAATCAGTAGCGAAATAGGATATATGTATGAGAGAGAAGAATATGCAATTGAATGAAGTTATTTGATGACTGTATACTAATGGTACTAGTTTTATTACTCAAAAAATTTATGACATATATAATCGGATCAGAGAATAGTATAAGTGCCATACATACGAGCGACAACTAATATATTCGCGCCTTTAGTTCAAATAAATAGTGCAGTACGAATAGTCGTACAGAAAGTATCATGAGATATATTAATTTGTTTATAGAAGTGAGATAAAGATTCTGAAATGCCATATCCGCACGTGTTTAAATCTAGTTATTAGAATTATTAAATGAAAGTATAATATTACTCAAAAGCCACCAAATCTTTTAAAAACAACATTTTGGAAAGAAGAATAACACGATTCGCGAATTGTCGCTCTTGTCGTCTCAACGATGAGCTGCATTCACTAGTAACAGCATTGCGACATACGACTGTGACAGAAAGCTTCTGTGTATAACATATAGCATCGTTTGCCAATAGATTCATATGGTTATTTGTAATGTGAAATAAATTTTTATCTATACCTAATTAAATATTATTTAATATCTTCGAATTTTATTCTTCTTGATAATGAATCATTAGTTAAAAAAAAAATATGTATATTTTTGAAAAATAAATTTTTGAAGTAAATTGTTGTAAATCCGATTTGCAATGTATCAGCAACCACATGAGCGCGCAATTGGTATTAGAAAACAATGCCCACGAGTTTCAACCATGACTGTATTGTTTCTGTTCGTTGCAAAAAATCTTTTGCGTTATAATAGAATACTTTGATCATATTTATTGATAACGTAATATTATTAATTTAAATGGATAAAATATTCTGAAATAAGAAGAATAATAATATTTTTTAATTATCATTTTGAATATTTTTTAAACCATTTGGTAAAATCGAATCATATTTTGTATTGAATTTAAAACAAAAAGAATCACATTTTTAAACACGTGATTCATTATAAACCAATAGCGCACACTATCTACGTTCTTTTCCCAGATAAGACTCTTAAAAATATCTCTTTCTTTATGACTTTAACTTATGCATGGATAAAAATATTCGTAAAGAATACATGCATATATGTACTTACATTGTGTACGCATGAACGTGATATATTCTATGATTTCACTTTCAAAGAAAAATGGTTATAAAAAAATAATATCCTTTTCAACTTTGTTAATATTATTTTCATAATTTCATTTCAATAGTATTAATAACTAATTTGACAAAGAGAAAATTAATTTTAAAGAATTTTGCAATATATCAATGATATTTTGTTATAATTTGTCGATCTATATTTAAATAATGAATAACGATATGTTAATATAAACCATCATATGATTCTATGATGATTCTAAAGCATATGAATTTATTTATATTTATTGAAAAAAAATGATCTTAATATCATATTTGATAAGTGATCGTACTTTTAAAATCATCGTTAGGAAATCAAATGCATCTTATTCACTTGCTCATGAACTATGATGTCATACTGCAGTGCGCACCAACGACAACAAGATTAATGTCCTTGACAAGAAAAATATTTTTATAATATAAATACCTTTTTCTTATTAGTAATAATATTTAGTTGAATATTATTAAAATATGAAATTTAAATTAATATCTTTTACAAAGTGTTCGTATCACTTGAAGATACATACGATAAATGCAACATGCCACAGTAAGTTGCAACTGTAACTGTATGATGCTTAGCAGTAAAATCAATCGATAACAATTCATTCAGTTAACTTTGATTTACAATAAATTAGTAATCATATATATTAAAAATTGTTTAATACGAAAATCATTTATTATGAAAAGTTAAATCAGTTAGAAAAATTTATAAAAATGGGAAAGAAATGTAATAAATTATGTAATATAATGCTAAATACTGTTATTGTCAATTGGAAGAGACAATTATTCAAATATCCAAAATACAGATTAATAAAAAGAATAAATGAAACATAAATGAATGAATGAGTAATGAATGTTCTTCGAATTCTAATATTTCATTGAAAGATTAAAAGTGTACGCATGAATGTAAGGGCCCAAAGTAAGACGCCCCTAGTATAGGTTGAATAGTACGTTCCTGCACAACGGAGCCCGCGAGGGCTGGTGAGAAGAAGAGAGATATACTAATGATCAGAATTGATAAAAGAGTGACAGAGATAGCGAGGGCGAGAGAGGAACGCGAGGGCCGAGGCACACCATCGAGTATCAACCAGCTGGTTGGCAAGGCAGCCGCGAGCAGTCGCCAGTGAGACGCGGTACCCCGCGAGGGCTTTCGTCGTTTGTTCGTTCGTCTATACGTGTGTCTATATGTCCGTCATCTCCCTTCCGCTTAAACCTATCGTGGTCGTGCGTACGTTCATTCGTTCGTCCGGTCCGTGTGTGGTGCGTCTCCCTTCGCTTGCTTTCAACGACACTTGCCACCGGTCGCGACTATCGTCTCTGTGTCAAAGTACATCTCTGTCTTACTCTATCTCTCTCTCCTCGTTTCTCTTGGCGTGCCCAACTGAAAAGACAAGATGGCTGCCGACTCAGGAATGGAGACGTGTCCCTCCCCGGAGATTGCAGACTCCAGGAAGCGGCCGCTGGATTGTGACGCGGAAAATGGCGCGACGAAGAGGTCTCATTACGGATCAGGTATTTTAATTGCGTGTTGTCAATCAATTTTCTTGACTGTCGCATAAGTTTCCTTACATACCTTTACCGATGTTCCTATACATATACGAATGATAATGTACACTCACAATAATTTTCTCTCTCCTCCTTCACCTCTCTTTTTCTTTCTTTTTGCTCTCTTTTTCTTGCTTAGCGCTCTTTACTCTCTCACACGTCTTTGACAATCTTGTCGCTGCTGTTGACACAGCGATCGCTCGCTCGACCGTTCTCTTTCGTTTCCCACTTCGAACGTGTATACGAAGGCAAGAACGTGAACACGGTGCACCGCACAGCGGTTCGCGCATCCTCTCGTGCCACGTCTCCTTCTCTTTTCCGTCTCTCATCTCTTTATTTTCTTAATTTATTCACTATTTTCTGTCTAATGTCATAAACGCGACTTCGTACGTGTTATCTATAACAGTGTTTTTTCGTTGACGTTCATTTTATTATTGTCAACGTCAGCATTGTCACCATCGTTTTCGTCTTCGTTGTCACCCCCCACCCTTCTATCCTTCTTCTATCATCGTAATCATCAACATTGTCCTTATTTTCCTGCTTGTCTTCATCGTCGTTATTGCTACTGTCATCGTGGTCGTCATCGTCGTCATTGTTTCTACGTGGGCGACTGTGCCTGTGAACGTCGTTAATGGAGAATCGTTGCTGCGGTGGCTGTCGATTATGATCCGTGACTCTGCAACTTCGTCTCTGTCGCGCCCGTTTCATCATTTCAACCACTAGCTTCGCAGCAAGAAGTGGCCTATACCTCGTTCCATTTGTACGCATATTGTGTACTTTTCTGCCGCATTCTCGTAGTGCAGTGCCGCTGTTGTCGCGAAAGTGGCATACTAAGGAACACGCTGCTACCCGTTGAGTGGCAGTTACTAGGATGTGGCGTATCGGTGAGTTGTCAGGCACACCGTTCCGCTGCCGAGGTTGCGGGTCAAGGTCGATGCGAAGCGAGTGAGCGCACAGGGCTTCCATCTGTCAAACAGCTGTTTGCCTTCAACGCATCGAAACTTTGTCATTCTACATTATACTTCCTTATTCTTCGTTCACCGATTACGCGACACTTTTTCGAGGCTCGTACTGCGTGTTCATTGGTATCGGTCTTTCTGCGCTCGCGTGTCCGTGAGTACGCATGATTTCGCGTTTCATCGTTTTAGAAACCAATCAGAAATCACAAGTTTTATCATGAATATCGGAATAACGTGTTATTTGATAAAAGAACATTGTAAAATTATATGTGAGCTTTAATAACTTAAATTCAATAGTAATGATCTACTTTATGAGGATTATGATCATCATTAAAAAATTTAATGTTTTTAAATGTGTGTGCATTTTATTAAAATTAATATAATGTTTTTTTTTATTTGCTTATACTAATAAATTTTTTTGTTAAATTGTTTATATAACTTAAAAAAATGTAATTTTTTAATGATCTTGTGTATTCTGTCATATATTAATCCATAATTTGTGTATTAATATTATCTTTCATGCAATCAATACAATAATTATATAATTTTATATTTTACAGGGGGAGATGGAACATATCACCTCAAAGTATTGGTCCCTGGAGTGGCTGCTGGGGCAATCATTGGAAAAGGAGGAGATACAATTGCCCAATTACAAAAAGATACAGGAGCTAGGGTCAAAATGTCTAAATCCCATGATTTTTATCCAGGTATATCGAAAACATTTACTTATGCTATATCTACTAAAAAATATATATAAAGATTTATAATTTATTTATACATAATTATTTTATATGATCTATAGGAACAACAGAGAGAGTATGTTTAATTACGGGCAGTTTAGAAGCTATAATGGCAGTTATGGATTTCATTATGGATAAAATTCGTGAAAAACCAGATCTTACGTTGAAAACAACAGTAGATTTTGAATCAGGAAAAACTACTGCAGAAAGAGATAAACAGGTATAAAATTTCTTATATGTTTTATGTATATTTATTTATTTATGTAAATTAAATTAATATTTAAATTTATAATAAATTAATAAATTCATATTAATTTATATTAAATTAACATTTCCTATATTAATATTGTAATAGTGTATTACTTGTAATACATTATATATTAGTAAAATTTTTATTATTAAATAATATCTTATTTTTGTTATCAATAAATGATAAATCAAATATATTTATTGGAAATAAGAAATGTTCTTTCATGTATATATATTGTATATATTATGTATATATATCATATTGTATATTAATTGTAATCAGAAAGAATAGAATTTCTTTATTTAAATATTATAATTAATGTAATATTTTAGGTAAAAATTTTAGTGCCTAATAGCACTGCAGGAATGATAATAGGTAAAGCAGGAAATTATATTAAACAAATAAAAGAAGAATGTGGCTCATATGTTCAAATAAGTCAGAAAGCAAAAGATGTATCTTTACAAGAAAGGTGTATAACAGTAATTGGAGAAAAAGAAAATAATCGTAATGCATTAATGATGATATTAGCAAAAGTGGCAGATGATCCACATAGTGGTACATGTCCAAATGTTAGTTATGCAGATGTTAGTGGTCCTGTAGCTAATTATAATCCTACAGGTAGTCCTTATGCTCAAGCACCTACAAGTACTCCTACATACACCTCTACAGCTGGCATTAATACAGGTAAAATAATAAATAATATAAAAAACAATTGTAAAATTAAAATACGATAATAAATATAAATTAATAAATTAATAAATTATAACTTTTATTCACAGTGAGTCTCTTGAATGGTGCTGGGTTAAGTTTGAACTTAAATTTAGGAGCTGCTATTACAGCGGGTACAGCACCAGTGACAACGCAATTATTGGAACATATAAAATTAAATTTACGAACGGCAGGTTTTTCCGAACCTGCTGCTAGTGAAATTTTATCTGCTATTGCTACACTTGCTAAATATAATCTTCTTGGAATGGGAATTGGAATGCCTTCTAGTATGAGTTATCTTGGAAATCCTATGGACAGCACTACAACTGCAAATGGTTCGAATAATAATGGTGGTGTATTTGGGCCAATTGGAACAGTTCCTACTCTTGGATCTACGTCTCCTACACCACGTAATACACTTGACAGATACGAGCCCTTTGATCCATTCAGACAAAACAACACAGCTGCCAGTGCTATTCATCTAAACAACAATTCATTTGGCCTTGGCACTAACCAGTTATCACTTGTAAGTAAGAGTCCTACACAGGTAGACGCCAACAACAAGGAGACCAAGAAAGTAGACATAGAAATTGCAGAGGTTATAGTGGGAGCTATTCTGGGACCCGGTGGTCGTGCCCTCATTGAGATTCAGCACCTAAGTGGCGCCAACATACAAATCTCTAAGAAGGGCATGTTCGCTCCTGGTACCAGGAACCGCATAGTGACTATCACGGGTTATCCTAATGCAATTGGCACTGCTCAATATTTAATTGAGCAAAGGATCAGTGAAGAGGAAGCAAAACGAGCACGTCAGAATGCCCTCGCCAATATGATCCATTGATTTCAAGTACAGCACTTTTGTTCATCCCCATTATTGAGCTCCGTTATTCATCTTCCTACATCTTGAGATGATGTTTGCGGTAGCTCTCTTCTTCCCTTCTTTAAACTCTCATCCACTATCACCTACCACCCGTTGTCATCTGTCGCTACATCACTATAGCGCTTGCATTATCACATCACTATTCATGCATCCATCATGGTTCGTCAACATTTATCTATCTTTTAAGATTATTATAATATATAAATATTATATGTTATATGATAACTACTACAATTGTTCTGTGATACACCACGTTACGGGGCTTTATCACAAATAACACACGTACCACATCAGAGTCACATAATATATCTAGTTGTATGGTATAATAGGATATTGAAAGAAGCATGATAAAATTATAATTATATTAGAAACGAAATGGCACAATTTGGCCATAGTTGTTCTTGAAAAATCGAGACAACAATATTATATGGGTAATTGTTTCGTTTCATAAAGATGAATCTATTTTTTTTTTTTTTTTTTATATATATAGGAGCATAATCTTACTATTAATGCGAGAGATATTTTTAGTTAGAAGATCATACAGAACTCACAAATTGAATGACTTCGATCTGAAAGATTAATAATCCTAATGTATCGCGCAAGTCAAATTCTATTCATTTCCACAAAATAATATTGCAATTATTGTATTGAACTGTTCCTTGAACTATGAAATGATTAGGCTGTTTGAGCGAGTTTTTACTCATAGTTAATATAATATTGAGCGAGTTTTTTTAAGTACAGAGTAATACCTTGGCAAAACCAAAGATCTTACATTTGTAAAGCAGAAATAACTTGGCTGGAAGATAAATATACATACAAAGGGAGAGCTATTCTATATATAAACATATATTTATATATTTACAATGCTGGCTGGTCCAGCTAAATGATAAACATAATACTTTATTGCCAAGTTTTATTCTGAATCCCAAAGTCTTTATTTCTCAAAATCTTCATTCAATTATTACATCGTGTAGTATTTAGATTAATGTACTCAGAAATATATAAACATCGAGTCTCATTCTTCTTTATTCATATCTTAAAGACAGAGAATTTATTTTATTAAGATATTAGACTAAGAATTACTCGATTTATCATTGGATCAAAACGATCCTTTCGAGTAATATTTCAGTATGCAGGTTGCAATGTGTTGCACATTAAAAGTTTTGTCTAATTATTTTTAGTTTCAAGGCATATCAGTTGAATACAATTTTATATTTCATGACACACTTTAAACTAAAAGTTGTGACATGAAAAATTTTTTTTGTCATTCCTTTACATTATAGTAGCATAAATATAATTATTTTTGTTACATAGAGATATTTATATTTATATACAATCATTTTCAAAGTTTAATTGTGGAATATTGTTTGAAAAAAATATTCTATTTGCTTCTCTAGTGTTTTCAATTCTTTTCTATGCAATGATTAAGTATCCTGAAAATGAAATAAATTACGATTTCTGCATATATATTCACTTTTATATAAAAATTTATATAAAAGTTTATTATGGTCAGCATATGTCATACATCCTTGGGTTCTGTATGATACTGCTTTATGTGGAATTCTATTTAAGCCAACCAAATCTTTGACAGATTTTTAATAACTGCACTTTGACGTTGAATCAAATTTTTAGATAGGGAATGGATTTTAGCTAGAAACTTCGTTTATGTTGATAATTATCAATATCATAAGCAACAGAATAAATAGCTTATATTTCATTGCTAGATAAAAAAGAGGATACAGCATCTATTAATAACAAACGTTTCAAATCATTGTTTTTCTTTTTGGGGGGGTAGGTATTAGGAAAGGGTGATATAAGGGATAGGCGGTAATCAATAATGGGTTTAGTTAAAGAAAACGTTAGCTGTAGCGTCAAATGAAATATATAAGTGTACATGAGTACAATTCATAGCTGGAGGCGCTGGCTCACCGCTCTTTAAAAATAACTTGTATATTCATAAATATCGCATAACATGAGTAATAATATATTACACACAGAGAGAAAAAGAGTAAATATATATATTATATATTATATTATATATATAATATATATATGTATATAAAAAAGATGCATATATATATACATGAAAAGTTTGAATTAGATTATTAATAAAAGAGAATTCATATTATCTAAAATATAAATGACATATATGTGTATATTTATATGTATATATATATACACATATATATTCTATATATATATATAAATATATAAATATAATATATAAAAGATATAATATAAGTAATGAAATGATATTATAAACATTGTTGACAAAATATTTGCGTCCGCGTACGTAAAACATAATTTTATGTTTATTCATAAATTGTATGTGAACTATTATTGATTAAACTTCACTGTGTTGCCCAAATACATTGAAAAAGAAGTCACAGATACGATGAAGATGCAAACTATTATTATATTGCTGTAGATAGATCTATTCAAAGAAACTTTAATAGAACATGTTACGAACGTCACGTGTACCATTAATTTAATTTATAAATCACTTTATTTTAATAGCGATCATGCTATTAATATTAATGGCAGCATAATATTTCTTTATTGCATCCGCATATGCAGTACTTTTCTTCGTTAATTAATACGTATCATCACATTAGATCTATCATTGGCGATTTATCGATTTTATCCTATCGTCACTTTCTCTCTATTTCTATTTTATAATTCATATTTTCTGACTGCCGGTAGGCAGATGTATTCCAATTAACTTATATAGGTGAGAATTTTCAAAAAAAAAAAAAAAAAAAAAATGGATTTTATATCTCGTTCATTTATAATACATCGATTCGTACATTTGTCATTTGTGATGCTCATTAAATATATTTGTACTAAGATACCTAAATCTAATATTGCACTAAACTTGTACAAGTAAGGGAATTAAAAATGAATTTACATTTGATTTCATTACAAAAATTTTGATATATTTTGTGCTTGTTACAAGTAACTTATTATAGTGAAGTGAAGTAAATTTTTATCTCATAAAATATTTCTCCTATTAACTTTTTTCTTTTTTTTTTCTTTCTTTTTTTTTTTTTTTAATTTTTCTCTCTTTTTTTATGAGAAGACAAATATTTTTTATCTTATGTTCTTAAAATTATAACGTTTCTAATGTTATTGATCAGAGAATAGCAATCAAGATTTTTTTATTTTCTTTGTAATCAAAATCAAAAAGTCAAATTATCTTTTTTCGATTTAGAATTTATATTCTATTAAACTTGTAATATGCACATTAAAGTAAAAAAAAAAAATGAAAATAAGGAAAATGAGAATATTTAAATAAATTTTATTCATAAATCTCTATATAAATAAACAACTTGTAGGTAGCAAGAAATAATTAGATTAGGTTACAGTTTTTCTCAGTAAACACATTCCTTAGTAGAACAGATAATGTATAAGGCTAGCTGTGATGGAGTTATGAGTAAGAGAGAAAGAGAGAAAAGTTAGAGAGAAGGAGATATAAATATTCATCAGCTACCAGTACGTAAAAATTGCCACGATATGTTAATAGTGTGTAAAATATAAAATTTATTTGTGCAGGGAAAATAACTCGGTGATGTAAAGATTCATCAAGGCAAGGAAGATGGATGCGTTTTATTCGCAATGATAAATGACGATGTCGATGTTGAAATGTGCATTTCTATCAGAATCAAATGTCATAATATCAATTTTCCAATGTTAACACTTGGAACATTTGAAAAAAAAAAAGAAAAAAAACAACTCTCCTTGCATCAGCGGTAAGAAAATTAAACGATAATGTGTTAAAAGCTAATAGAGATAAACCAATCTAATATAAGTACTATATTTCCTTTAGCAATTAATATGCATCTATACAATATTACTATTTTATAAATATTAATGTTATGGGGCTATGTGTACTGGTTCGTATGTGTTCAATGGTTAGAGGATGTATAACGCAATAGGATAAAATTAAATTATTCGAAACATTGAATCGTGATTACGATTGATGCAAAAATTTCTATAAAAAAAACGTCCAACGAGAAAAAGGATCGATCGTATATACGTTTATTCTGATTGCTTCAATGTTGACAGATACCTTTATAGAGTTTACTTGTTATTATTGTGTTAAATTTTATTGTCGCATGTTGGACGATTGTTGTCTGAAAGAAAAGATATGCAAATACCTCCATATAAAGTGGCAAAACAGTATTGGTTGGCCAGTCTGTGTTACCTACGAGTTGTTTAACAAGAGGAAGAATCGTTAAACAATTTAATGCCGGCAGTCGCCACATATTTAGAAGAATCTTATTTCATATGACGCTTTGTTTTGTACAGTTCGAGATATTTCATTCGATCATTCTTCTAAAAAGGGTATAAACACGGCGCGAAAGAATGGTCATTGCGCGCCATGGATAGTTGTACACGATTACTAAGTATAGATGTGTAGGTAGTGTCTTAAATCTCTTGTAAAAGTCGTCATTACAGGTTCAACGTTTTAAATCAATAATCGATCGATTTAAAAGAAAAAAAAAAAAAAAAAAAAAAAAAAAAAANAAAAAAAAAAAAAAAAAAAAAATAAAAAATATATAATTATACTCTCGCACGTGGAGACGTAGTGTAGTAATCAGGGAAACTGTAGGAATTGCATTGACTCGCCTCAATTCTAATATGAACTATTGTTACAGTAACTATAATTGAATTTGACACACGTTGCCACAATAGAGTGGCTTGCGTGTCACGTTACTTGGCTGTGTGTGCTAGGCTACATCGTAATTCATGTTCCATCATCCATCACTCCACTCGCACAGACTCCATTTACCTGTATAGAATGCAAATAAAGGGGAAGGGATAATAAAAAGGGAAAAAAAAATGTAACGATGATTTATCATTAATTACGTTCATTATATAATATATATATATATATATATATATTGAACAAAATAATGAAAAAAAGAAAAAAAGATCGATATATACATATTTGATAACAGAGAAAGTGAAAAAAATGAAAAAAATTTCTTCGCATGACATTCACATACTCCACCCAATCACTTTAGTGCCATATTGATATCCCATCAGCCACACTTGTTGACGTTTTGACGGTAGAACGTGTTGTTAAAGATGTGTATATTCTGCGATTATGCAGGCTGTTTTGAATAAAGTCGGAATACGTTTATTTCCCATTACATATTAAATCGTTACAAAGTATTATGAAATACACCTGTATATGCTTATTTAGTTTCTGCAGTGTACAAAGAATCGTTTTACAATTATTGAAAGATTTTAACTATCGATTATCACAATGACGAGAGAGAGAGAGAGAGAGAGAGAGAGAGAGAGAGAGAGAGAGAGAGAGAGAGAGGGAGGGAGAGGGAGAGAGGAAGAGAATGAGTGAGTGAGAGAAAGAGAGAGAGAGAAAGAGATTTATATATGTATATATATGTGTGTGTGTATATATATATATATATTAATATATACATATATATATATATATATATACGTATGTATGTATATGTATATGTGTTGATTGCAAACTCTAAGTTCGAACTTCTTATTTTATGAATAATATATATATTCTAGAAAACAAAATTTTGTAAAAAATGCAACAGTTTCTTAATCGAGAGCAATGTATTTTCCAAATTGTAATTATTGTTGACAAGACAGAAAAAAGCTATCTTTTATTTTATATCAATATTTTGGACATTTGGTGTTGAAGCAAGTAGAAAAAAATTTTTAAAAATTGTCACAAGGAAAAATTCAAAAACTAGAAAACTAGAAAAAGGTGATACGATGATGAAGTATAAATAATTTTTTTTCCAACTTTTAAACCATTGTTTCTAAAGAAACGTTGCATTTGGATGCTTTAAGGATGTTATTCTCGGAAGATTCTTTTAACTGCCATTTGTTGCAATTGTTCGCTATAATCAAAGATTTAAACGATAGAACAAATTAACAATAGTCAAAGGAAATATAAAAATTGATGTAAAATTATTAAGAAGTATTAATATATTAAGAGATATGATAATAGATATCATAAAAAAATGATAAAAAAAAAAGATAAAACGATGAAGATAAAGAAATAATAATAATTGATTGCATTGCATTGATTGACAATAGAGCAGAATTAATTATTATAATATATAGAGAACAAAGAAAGACAAGCTCTGTCTGTAACTAATAATTAAACAAATTCTCTTGAACATTTAACTTCTTCTTCGCCAGATGTTTCCACTTCAAACACTGTTGTATATTATGAAATTTTCAAACGCTGTATTGTTGCCGCTGTTTTATATACAATCGTGTCGTATTAGAACATTATCCGCAAAATCGATTCGCGATATTTTTGCTTTTTTTTTTTCTTCTTTAACTTCCGTTAATGCTTCCTCTTCTGTTTTATTCAATTCATCTGATTAAAATTTCACAATATACCTGCATTGCAATGCCCTTAAACAAACAGAATAACAAAGGAGTAAAATACAACATGAAAAATGAAAAGAATATAAAATGAAAAAAATAAAGAAAATAACACGTGGCTGTAAATATTTTATATATATATATATATATAAAAAAAAAGAAATATATATAGAAAGAAAAAAAGAGATCTATCTATTATAGAGATACGCGTGGAATTAATCGAAAAGAGGCTTTTATTTTTGTCTAAAAAATAAAAGATGGACGATAATTGAATATAGCGAGATGAGAATTATAATTGAACGAGTTCAAAAAAAAAAAAAAAGAAATATCCTGACTTTAGTCGATTTTAGTGCATAGTATTTACCGATAAAGTATTAAATCTCGCGCAATTGATACGCAATACAAATTTCGATCGTTCAGCCCGCACTGTGTCTTCTTCTGCATAAATAACCAAATGCTAAATTCGCAATTTCTGATATCATTGTACAATCAAAAAAGAATACCCCACTTATAAAGCAAAATATAAAAAGACAAGAAAATAAGAAAAGAGAAGCTTTTTTTCCGCGTACATAGAAATTGAACAGAAAGAAACAAGCCTCGAAGTGTATTCAAAATAGCAATGCATACCGGTATATAAATCTATAAAAAAAATTGCGGTTAATGACTGAATGTCTGAAAAAAAAAAAATTAATTCGGAATATTTAAATACAGAGCGAATATAACCGAGAAAGAATTTATCCGAAAGATATAAACTATTATCAAACAAAAAAAAAAAAAGCAGAAAAAGGAGAAAAAACGAATTGTGGGACTGTAATAAAAGAGAGAGGCATATTTAAACGACTAGATCATTCGTTAAAATATAATTAAGAGGGTTGTACAAAAATGTATGTAATGTTATTTTATTGGAAGTGAGACTTAGAGTTAGATTGTTAATACACGGTATATTATTTTGGGTAAGCATATGTAAAAAAGAAAATGATTAAAAAAATAATGAAGAATAATGACGAAGAACTTGAATGAGATCGTTATTGTTGAGATAGAAGTAGCACATAGCAGCTCGGGGATTATAATGATGAGGAAGAGGAAGGAAAAAAAAAACTATTAAGTACCTTGTTGAATATAAGTAGATTAATAATCGCTAAGTCGCGAAGAAAAAAAGATAGTGCACCGCGATGGTGCATATGTGCACATTCATGTTCATTAAACAACTTGTCGTCATTTTACACACACAAACACATACTCATACGCATATGCATATGCATACATTGATACATACAGAGGGACATTGTACACTTGTATAACGCGAAATGTTGCATGCCTATACACGCAAAATGAAAGATTTAACAGAAAAAAAAAAAAAAAAATAATGAAAATATTAATAGAGGGTTTTACGCGAAACGCAGTGCCGCGCGTTGTGCTTTACCTTTTTAAGGGTCGTATCCGAATTACGATACCGGTTACATTAGATGAATTAAATAGCATTATCTTCCACAAAATATTTCGAATTTCAAGAGCAGCTGGCTGCGAAAAAGGTACCATAGAGAGATTCGTTCGTCATTGATGGAACACGATCACAAGTATTGTACCTTACATTCCTTTGGCTATAAAATATAATAGTAAGAATATGACGACCGTGTGCATCGTGCGCTTTGTGAATCGCAATTATCATACGGTAAAAAATAAAATAAGAATAAAAAAAAAAGGAAAGAGATATGGAAAAAATAGAGAAAAATAGAAAATTGGGGAAACTCATGCGATTAATTCATAATAATTGGAAGAAGAAAAAGATATTTTTCAATTCAATTTGTGAACATGATTCGAACATTCTAATTTCATTAATTGACGCACGCATTACACGGTCGATCATTCGTTTTGTTTTTTTTTTTTTCTTGTTTGTTCATTTCGTCAGAATATATATTAAAAAGAGGAAACGGTAAAAAAAAATAGCGAACGAAATTGTATTTTTAATATATATCTGTATAATCTGAATATATATACATTCAGAATATATATATATATATATTTTTTGGAATTTCGCCACCAAAAAGGGTATTGCGATTCAGCTTCGAATGTTCGCAAGGGATTTTAGATATAATTATCAAGAAGGTTATTATCATTATTATAATTATTATAATTATTATTATCATTATTATGAAGAATATAGTGTGTTCTCTTAAAGTGAAAATTTATATATACATATGTATATGTACATATATATATATATATATATATATATATATATANNNNATATATATATATATATATACACACTTTTAAGCGAATAAGAACGAATAAGAAAAAGAAAAACTATTATTGAAACTGTTATTGAGAATTATTGAGAATCATCTGAGCGATATATTAGAAAAGGAATATGCACGTGAATACGTGTGTCGATGCGCATCGATTGTTCGTGAATTGTTTTGTCGCAATCTTTTTCAAAAAAAATTTAAAAAAAAAGAAAGTAAATAAAAACAAAAATTAATAGGGAAATATCGTGTGTAGCTCTGCTGCATCCGATACTTGATGAAAAATGCAACAGGAAAATAAGTTTAACAACAAAACACATTTTGTCTCTGCTTAAGACTTCCTTCAAACAAACGAATGTCATATTGTATCGAGCACAAAAAGCTGCGTTACTTTCTTCTATAATTCTACATTCAATTATATTTTCGCAAAAGAATTTTTTCTTCAATTATTAGCTCGGATTTTTAAAAAAAAAAAAGATACTTCGATTTTTCGATATATTAAAAGAAGCGACATTTTGAACTATTTTGATTTTTTTATAGGGATAAGTATTAAGTCAAATTAAAAACGAAATGACTAGAAAAAATTTGATCAAGTCGAGCTTTTCTCAACTCGTATCGATAGAAAAATGAGTTTTATATTTTCCTTGTCGATACGACGAGAATACATTCGATAAATATTTCTTTTCTATAATTTAAAAAATAATTATATAAATAATTTTAAAAAAACATAAAAAAAATAAAAATGAAAACGTATATTTACGTTTATTATTATTATTCTAGGCAAAATTTAAATAACGAATCAACAACAATCGGAAAATCAAAGTGAATCCGAGATGTGCGGATCGATAAACGCAACGACAAGCGAATATGCATCACGGCTTGTAAGTCTAAACGTGAGAAAAAAACAGTCTTAGTTTTTTTGATCGATCAACGTAAAATAATTACATTTTTTATTTAATAATTTTTTCTTGTTATTTAAAGTTTACTTAGAGTATACCCGAAACCGTGACCTCTTGGGCATCACTATGATTGTTACTGATGAAGTATATATTATACTATATATATATACATATATAATATATAAAATATATATGTATATATATATACATATAATTAGTTCACAGCATTTGAATTTACTCTAAAATAATTACTTTACACTCTAACCACATTTATTTGCATCCATAAATTGTTATTCTTTCATCATCAGAGTTATTCCATTCAATGTTAAATAATTATAAATATTAAAAACATAATATATTAACTATTTTCACTCATGAAAAAGCATCGTTACCTGTATGACAAGTGACCATAAGAGCATAATAAACAATCGCTCATTAAATGCATTTTGTTGTTCTTCATTTCATGACCTGGCCACATGTTCCATCCATCTACTCCATCGATCCATCCATTTGTCCATTCAGTGTCGCTGTATGATCGTCATACGCATTCTTTTCTATTTTTTTTCTTTCTCTTTCTCTTTCATTCATCCAAGACGTGATTATCCGAATATCACGGAAACTTTTTATTATATTAAAATTACTTCTCTTTTTCTCTTTCTCTCTTTATCTCCGTTAATTTCTGACAATAGCATCCAATGAACTCCTGTGCAATTGTAATTTTGTCGAAATTAGGAAGGTTCCGATTCAATATTGCGATCTATCAACATATATTCATTTTCTATTCGGATTTGACCGAACACTCCAATTCTTGACTTATGATGAAACCTTCCAAATTTTGATAGAAAGCTCACGAGAGATGAAACGTCCTTTATTAGGTGGTAGCATGCGTACCTGTAAATACAATGATGTATAATTTACGCGATCTCTAGGTAAGCTGTTCGACTAGTCTATAAGTTTTTTTATAATGTATCTACGTACACGAACGGAAACAGGAAAAACAGGAAAACAGATGCGTTTGTATTGCGATGTTAAGTAACGTGTTAATCCCAGTTCTTTGGTTTATCTCGTATTTTCTGAAACGAGTTAAACTGAAGGATCGTGCGAGTATAATTCTATAGATATTTTCAAAAAATATATATACATATATATATATCGAATGACAAAAGAGCGCAGAAATATTATTAAAATCAAATTAATATCACCGTCATTATTATTATACTCGTTTTAACTATCTATCGCGAACTTTGCTGTTGCTGTTGTTCTTGTTTAACGTATCTTACGTTCGGAATAGCATATCATTCTGAGTATACAGTACCAGAAGAACTGAAATTATGGTTCTCGGTGCATTTCATCAGCGTACAAAACAGAAAAAGATGCTGTTCTTACTAGTCAATATAGATAAGGGAATGTATTTTTTTACACGATTGATTTGTAATAAAGATATTGAAAACGAAAGAAAACTAATCCAGTTTAGATAGAGGAAATATGAGAACGCTTATGTTATTTAAAAAAAAAAGAGAGAGAACAAAGCGATATCGATGAAACTTTTATAAAACAGATCAACGATTTTCCTTTTTTTTCATTTCTAGTTTATTTAGCTAAATTTCTTTCAGTTTTAAATTGTCATCTATTGATTGGAGCATCTTGCAGTGGAACAAAATTTTTGAATATATAAAACTTTTTCACCAGGTAAGTTGTATATTCTATTTTCTTTTCTTTATTTTTTTTGTATTCGTCCATCTTTTATTTTCTTTTTTTTTATCTTATGATATTCTATTATATCTTTCTTAATAAATCAATTATCAATTGATACAGTCAAAACATATTCTTTATTCGAATAATAAATGCACATTCACAAGTGTATTTATAGTCTGTTAACAGCGTTTCTTAGCTTCGCATCTACAAATTAATATACATACACTATGACACAGAATTTATTATTCTTTATAAGCAATGAACGTACATAATTCATTTTCACTTACAAAATATCTATATGCATATCATGCCGGTGATTCGTTTTTGTTTAAATTTTCATGATGTATCGTTTGCATTCGTTATTATTATACACACATACTCGCATTTGCTTCTTCTATAAAGTTTCTCACGCATCCTTTTATAAATGTGTACGTAGCTCTATCTAACTAAATTCTACTTAGGACCATCGGTAAAATGAACTTCTAAACATTATTGCCTTTAGTTCATCCCACTATACAATGATTCTATGTTGCGTTTTTTTTTTATTAATTTGTTTGTAAAACAAATATTCATTATTATTACTATTATTATTAAGTACTTTCCTGCTTCTGACTCTCATATATTCACAAACAAGTTAATGAAAAAGTGGTATATGCTAAAAGTAGAATTTTTAATTTTATACATAAAAGAAAAAAAAATATTTTCTAGAGAAATGGAGAATTAATTGTTATCGCATCAAAGATGAAATTATCATTAGATGCAATAATATTTATACAATAATAATTCCTCGAATTTTTCTTATATATTATCCTATATTAAAGATAGATTAATGATTTTTTCGCTTGAAACATTCTCCATAAAAATTATCCATTTCTCTTTCTTGCTTTAATATGTAATTATTATAAGAATAACAAATATCACGAAGATTACAAAGAAAAATTTAGATTCTCTTCATTATGATCACGACACTTCATTAATATTCATCACGATCTTACATCATATATTGATTAAGTGTTTCACGATATACTTTAATAACGAAAAAATCGAATTGAAGAATAAAGAATAAAGAAATTTTTTGTGCAATTACGCTTGAAGAATAACGCTTGTTTGCATTCTTTCCTTATGCATTTTCTATAACCTCTATAAAACCTCTGTAAAACTTGCAATACTTATTGAAACGATCAGCCATCTCGAAAATCTAACAATTCGATTTTCTACATGGAATACTCGAATTTATATTATGTATAAAAATTATATATATTATTATCTAATCATATCATTTATATAATGTATACAATTCAATTTTAAATATGTTTCAGTTCTTATTTTCGCTTTATATTAGAATATAGAATATAAACGATTTCTGCATACAATTACAATTAAATGATTGCATGAAGAAACATGCAAACAAACATCTCCTTCATTTTTATATAGTACGGTATTCAATATTTTAAATCAAGAATAGTTTTTACTTTCGTAGAAAGTAATAATAAAAAGGAACCCGGCAATAAGGAACAATGCCGACATTATTGATAAGTTTACTACATATACTGTTTTGTCTTGACATTTTTGTTATATAATAAAAGTATTCTCCATGTATAAAACTACAAAATATATAGAAGTTATACATATAGATGATACAATAAAAAATGTATCTCTATATTTCAAAGATTATTCTTTGCAAAAAATATATTGTAAAGTTTTAGTTATGCTTAATATTAAAACATAAAAATATTTTAAATAATTTTATTAATTATCACTTTTTATTATTTAAATAAAAATCGCATCAAATTCTTCAAATATATAATTTTCTTCATGGAATGTTTAAAAAATAATTATAACTTTGTATACGTTATGAGCGTGTATTATAAAATAAAATCGAGTACTATCATTCTATTTTTCAACGCTAAAAAATATGTAAAATTCAAATTTAATTTCATTAAAATTTTTAAATATTTACTTATGATATACTTTACAAAAAAAAAAAAAAAAAAACGAAACATACTCAAAAATATATTTAAAGATAAAGCTTTAGAAAAAGAAATTTGATTTGTACTTTTTATTTCTCGATATTATTACGGAGTTTGAGCAGATTGCATTCCCTTATTACACGTTTCCTCTTCTATTTATTCAATGTGTGAGTATGTGTGTTTGCGATGTTAAATCTGCTACTTTATACTCAGTAAAGAATTTCAAGTTATATTTAATATTATTTAATAGCAACACTTTTCCTTAATCTAAGCAAGCTAAAAATAATTGAAAAATTATATCATTAAAAGTGTATAAAAAGTAAACTTTTGATTTCAGACAACAGAACCTATTTATAATAGGTCAGTACGTTTTACAAAATAATATTGTAAGTATCGTACGAAGAAGAATTTTGTTAATTTTGATTTTATATATATAAAAATTAATGAAAAAATATAACAAAATTAAAAAGGCCAACATTTTTATCCTCTGAATAAGTACAGAAATGGAACAGTGTTTTTTATTTGAAATAGATAGCATATCATGCAATTTGATTTTGATAAATAACTAAAAATTATTATAGAATTCAATATTCTATTTTACACTGTTTACCATTTCAATACTTAAACGTAGTTCATAAGTGATAAAAGGTGTAATACAAAATATGTGTATAATATAAAAAAGAAAAAAAAAGAAAAGATAAATATTTATATAAAATATATGACAAATGTTTCTACAAAATTGAATAATAATTTCAATACATTAATATACAATGTATAATTATAAAAAAAGAATTAATATACATATTATCATCTTGTTTTGTTATAATTATATATTAGTAACTTTTTTGAAAGTAAAGTTGCATCACCTTTTGCCACTATAGAACTACACCATATTAGACCACTTCTCTTCCTGCTTCCAATAAATTAAAAGAGGAAGAGAGTGGTCTGCCTTGCTTGCTACTTGGTTGCCTCTGGAGGACAATCAGGCTGATTATTTGGATGAGCAGCAGTAAAAGCTGGATGATTTTCTAAATGACGATCTACCCTTAAAATTGTTGGAAAAGGTCGTAAATCAACAAGAAACCTTCTTGCATTAAATATCTGCGGTATTAAGCAACAATCTGCTAATGTGATTTCATCACCTACACAGTATTTTCCTGCACTTGATGACAATAATTTTTCTACAGCTGAAAAATAACAATATTTATATATAGTTATATTTACATTAATATATTGCTGAAATTATTTTTATTTCCATAATTTAATACCTGTTAAACCTCTAGTAATCCAATGTTGTGCCCATTCCTTCTTACGTTCTTCTCCAACATAAATTAACACAACTAAATTTTGTAATGGTTGAATACCACTAGCAATAACTTCACAAATTTCTCTGACGCGTGCTCTTTTCACTGGATCTGCAGGCATTAAAGGTCGATGTGGTCTGGTTTCTTCTAAGTATTGTAAGATATTTAACTGCAATGAGAAAACTTTCATCTTTAATATAATTCTTAATATCACTAAATAACATAAAGAAATTTATATGAATATTTATACACTTACAGATTCTATTAATGTGTGATTGTCAATATGAAGTGCAGGTACCTGCTCCATTGGATTAATTTCACGAAATTCATTAGAATGTTGTTCTCCACCACCTTTTATCAAGCTAACTGGTTTTATATCATATGGAATTTCTTTTAAATTTAATGCTGTTAAAAAAATATATATAATTTTATATAAACATTAAATATACATGTTAAAAATAAAGAAATCAAAAAATTATAATTTTATTTCTATTAAGAAACTTATTTTATTTTTAAAAATAAAATATGAAATTTTAATAAATTCTGATCCTTTTATTTATTATTTCCAAAATTTAGCGAATATTTTTCACTCACCAATTCGCACTCTCCACGAACAAGAACTCCGCCAATAGGAATAGAGTATTGGCTAAAAATTCAGAAAAAGAAACGAGATAAATACTGCAACACATTTTGCGATGTTTACTGGCTTCAAATGGCACGTTGACGGAAAGTATACATACATTAGTTTATCTAAGACCGGTGAAATATAATCAGATTTAAGAAAAGAATAAAATAATAAGGATAAGAAACTATAAAAGAAATTAATAATTAATAAAAAAATGCATTTAAAAAAACAGTATTTTTTAATCGAATGTTTAAAGAAATGATCTCGTTGCAAATAAAGAATTGATAATATGAGTAAGACTGTAATAATGTCGGATTCAATGCATTAAAATGTTAATTTGCTTACCTTTCCCATAACGGACATCTCGTCAGGCTTTGATGGACGGATTCGCCTGCTTAATAATTTTTGTCCAATTATTCGAAACGACGCTGTGACTCGCGAATCTCTTCGAAATTATTCGGTATCCGTTCAACGCGCGAAATCACTCCTCCCTCCCCTTTTATTCGATTGCCAGACATCCCATTCCACTGTCTCATTCCAGTCTGGGGTTCACACAACCAATCACAATCCACTTTCCGATAGGAAACAGTGCTGTATAACAGGAAAAACCTTGAAGATTGATGTATGCATAAAATTTTACAACTTCATATATTTCATGATTTTATATAATTATTACTATAAAAATATTATTTTACCTTAATATACAAAATTTAATTTATAATTTTTTAATTCAATTTAGCACGACAAAATATTTATATTCATATATTTCTTTATATAAGTAAAATAAATAATCTAATTATATCTAATTATTCAAAATTACAATCTTGTTTTCATCGAAGAATAATCTATCATATGTATATTAATAAGAATATAAAATGTGAAACCTGTACATATGTGTATATATACATTAATATCAAATTATAATTCCGGTATATGAAGGTTAATATAAAAACACACGAGTTAATTTTTAATTATATTTTATACTTATTTTAAAATATATATAATTATATATGTTTATATTATATATATTTTTTTATGTAAGAAATAATAAATTTTTGTTAATATTATATTGTGAGATAATTGCGAAAACTTAAAATAATAATAAATACGTATAAAAATATTTTATAATGTTGACGTTAAATTTTAAAAAAATAAATAATATTAAATATTTTTTCATTCAATTTCATCAAAATCTAAATAGAATTTTTAAAAAATTAAAATATGTATATGTATATATTAATTTGTAGTTCTAATTATGATAAGTATATTCTATTTTATTTTCGTATTGTTATTTTGCATTTTTACTATTATTTACAAAATATTCTTTTAGCAATAAAACATTTCTAATCATTTTATTTTTAATTTTAATGATGGAATTTAAAATAATTTAATTAATATTAAATTTTATATTCATTTTTTAATATTGTATAATATATTCGTAATATAATAACATATATTTTTTTAAATTGCTATTATTAAGACATATTGAAAAATATAAAAATATATAAAAATATATATATATTTCATATAATTTTTTTACAAAAATAATAAAATTCATATTTTACAAAAATATACAGAAAAACGAAAATATTTATATAAATTAACATATATAAAATATATATACAATATATATAAAAATACAGAAATATATAGTGTGTATATATAAAATATATATATTACATTTAAAAATATATAAATTATTATTTTCTTTTTTTTTTTATTCAAAAGTCCTTATATTTTGGTCCATAATATTTATCATTAGTATTGTTACAATTTGTATAGTACATAAATATAGAAGAGGAATAGAATTGAATAGAAAAGACAAAGATATGTTAAAAATTATAAAATCAGCATCATCTCTAGAATATTGCAAATGAATTAGATATAAGGTAAGAAGAGTAAATAATAAAAGAAGGATAGGGATAATACAGGAATTAATCGTTATTGCCATCTATCGAGTATCAAAGACATGTTAAGTTTGAACTTTCCAAAAGATGGCGATATTTGTTCATTATTTTTAGAAACATTTTTAGAAGATTATTTTATTTTTGATTCTAATCTTTCTTTATTCTATCTTTGTAGAATTGTCTTTGATATTCAAAAAGTGATGACACTGATAGTTAATTTTTACTACATTTCTAATCTCCGATTAATTTATTTTTCTTATCTTACACTAATTTCATTTGCGATACTCTGAAGATGGCGCTGATTTTTATTCTATTTTTGTTCTTCTCTTACTATTTGCTTTTCTTCCGTCTATATTTATTCAACAATTATAATAATAGAAATACTTGTTGTCACTTACAAATCAAAAAATGATAAGATTTTTTCTTTGTAATAAAAAAAAAAATAATTTGTAATGTGTATATATATATATATATATATATTTGTCATATAATATAGACATTAATATTAGGTAAGAAATGTAAATTTAATTTATTTAATTTTAAAAAAGTTTAAAAAAATTTTTAAAAAAATTTAATTTTTATGAACATTATATATTATATATACATCATATATTATATCTTATATATGCATGCTTACATAATTTTAAATGATATGATTGAGAAAAAATATAATATATGGTTAGAATATTTTGTTAAAAACAAATTTTTAAAAATTAAGATCATTTTCAAATAAAATATATATTTCTTATGTATATAATTATAGTAGTTGAACAATACACAATACAATATGTTGTATAATATGTTAAAATTATTATTACAACGATGTCTACCAAAAAAAGAAAATTATCCAAAAATTCATCAATATTTAGCTGGAATATATGCATTTAGTGCATGGACTGCTGCTATATATGTGTTTTATCTATCAATACACGAATCCTTACCTACAACTCCAGAACGAAGTATATTATTTTAAATAAAATAACTTAAATATTATTCAATAATTTTATATAAAATAATTTGAATTTTAAATTTTTATAGGGCAAAAATTTACAGAAAAATTAGAAAAAGGAAAGAAAATAGAATATATAAAAATTGATGGATTTAATATAAATTCTAATGAATAAAAAACATACCAATATGAAAATTCAAAATGAATTTATAATAAAATAAATTTTTATCACAAAAATGTTTTTATTAAATTCAGTTTACTAACAGAGATCTATAAATATAGTTTAATAATTTCTTTTTATTTGTAGAAATTATTTATAATATATAAACTTTATTTTAGATAGAGATTATTTAAGGTAGAGATTGTCGTAAGGCAATTGCTCCAGAAGTTTCTGGATTCAATTCCTTTAATCTTTGTTCCATTTCACATAACAAAGCTGACCTAAAAAATCATATAATTAAAAAGTTTATGATATATTATGTACTAAAATAAAAAAAATATAACTTAACAAACCTATATTCTTCATAACGCATGACAACTTCTTCTAATTCTTGTTTATATAATCTAGTAAGCATAGCATTAAAACAGTCAAGTTCCGGTAAACGAAAAAGTTCCCACCGTAATTTACGATCTAATGCTACTGATGCTCTACTGTATACATATAACCAATGAGGTATTTCTTCATTAAGGTATGGATTAGCTGGAACTAAAACACTGTGGGAGTGAAAATGTGTGTGGCGCGGTGGTGATACAACGCGTACTGCTTGTATTTCATGAGGATAACATGGATGCTCATATTGTGCTTGTCGCGTAATATGACTATAAATAATATAATTTTTTTATAGAAATTATAATATATACTTTTAATTTTAAATTGCTATAAAACTTACTTAACATAATAAACACCATATTCTGGTGATTCTATTCTTTCCCAGCCTGTAGGTAAGCCTTCTTTTTCAAGAGGATGAGACCAATGAGTAGTTTTTGTATTGTGATCTATATAATATTTTCTACCTCTAAGAGTGAAATCCACAGACCATCCAGGAGGTAAAGGAAGTTCTTCTTGTTGTTCATTCCTAGAACTTGATCTTTCTGAATGGCAACGACTATATCTTAAAAATATAAACATAAACAAAATATGCATACTTTTGATAATTTTATAAATCTTAAGTATAATACTTTTCTACCCTGTATTTTGACGATATGCAGAATGATTATATTCATCATAACCTGAATCAATATCAAAAGGTTTATAAGGTATTTGTGGTGTTTGAACCCGATCTAAATGATATTCAGATCCAGCATATTGATTAACATATGTATGAGATATAGCAGGTGAAAGTCCAGAATGATACATTGGAGTTGCAGTACGAGATGAAATTCCATCTCTTGTACTAGTATTGACAGAAAGACTGGCAAATCTAAATAATATATTGAAAATTTTATTTTAACTTTAAAATTAAAATATATTTTAAAAGATAAATTACCTTTGTGCTAAATCTGGTACAGAACTATTAGGAGTATATTTTCCTTCATGACTTCCTAAACCTACTGCACTCATTGTTGTCTTAGTATTTCCAAACTTTTGTACCATACTGGGTTGTTGTGGAATAGACTACATAAAAATTATTTGTTATTTATGTACAAAAATTGTACACGCAATTGCTATTTATTTACCATAGATGTAGGAATAGTTGAATGATTATTACGATTCCTTGTTCTTCTATTTGGTTCAGTTGTCCATACATTAATAACTAAAAGTAAATAATAATTATAAAAAAATAAATAAATAATATATTTTAATATTTGATATAGTATAATAATAATAAAACAAATAAAGCAATAATAAAAAAAAGAATATAAAAACTATATTATCAATATAAAAATTTGTTTTCTATAAATTAAATTCTAAATATGACATAATAATACGTAATGATATCTTACTTGGCATTTCAGGTGGAGTTTCTTTCTTGACATATTTACCAACAACTCCTTCTTTAATTGTTCTTAAATCCTTATTTTTTCGAGACAACATAATGGAATAAATATTTGATCGAGCGACAAACCAATAAATCTTCGATATTTATAACCTACAGTCACGATATTATATTCGTAAAACTAATGAAAATATATTCCAAACATATAATGATGTGGTCAAAAATAACAAATTATTCATTTTATATATTTGTATAAATTTGTTTTAATAAAGACTCAAGATTATTAAAAATTGCTTAACTAAATTATATACTTGTCACATGTATATGTCTTTTCATAATATGAACGTTCGAAAAAAAACTATTTCAATTGACGACGCTTTAGATATATCAACAATTTATAATATTAAAATTTGTTTAAATTTTTTTGTTCAATCAAACAATTTTTTGTCAATTATTTGAAATTTAAAAATTTAAAAAAAAATTAATCTCATATACATACATTCAATATTTATAGTAAATTATTTCATTTATGTGTCAATTTGACATTATGATATATGTCAATTTGATCAATATTACGAACTGTCAATTTGATATTATGATATATAAATTTTTTCGAAGAGAGTAAAAGTGAGTTAACTATCATAAATTCATAGATTAGTAATACAAAAACTGATTTTTAATTCATTTAGTATATAGTTCAAAAAAAATTTTTTTTCATTATTTTTATATAGATATACATATAATGTATTATAGATGAAAATTCTGTCTCATATTTCTCTTTTTTTATTTTATATTTGTTATATTTTATATTTTAAGGTTATTTCCATAACCTATCTCAATACGTCAATAGTTGATATATTGTGCATTAAAATAGCTTAATTTATATATTCATTTGTTTACAAGATTAATATACATTTTTCGCTATATAATGTATGTAGATATATATAATAAATATATTTTTTTAATTTTATTGTATTATTATTGTTTATATGGATATTGCTTTTTTAAATGAAAATCTTATACAATGAAATAAGAATTTCTAATTTTGATATTAACTGAAAACATTTTTCATTTTTTATGATAAAGTACATATTATGAACGATTTGTAAATATTAAAAGATAAATATTTAAATATTTTTTTGATAAACAAGTATGTTTCATTATTATTTTATTATTTATTGTTTTTGTTTAGCATCTTATATTTTTTTTTAAGTCTTGATAATTTTGTTTCAAGCTAGAAAAAAAACACATATAGAATAGAATATTCTAGTAATATATCTCCAAGCAACAGCTATTTTAGAGTATAAATAATTATTAATCTTATTGAATTACTGTTCTCAAAATTTATTATATGAATAGCTAACCATTCTTATGTGTAATATGACAAGGATAAATTAATCAACTTTCATTTATGTTACTCTTTTTACATTCTAAAATCAACTGTACAACTGTTATGTTTCTAACAGTGATTAATATGAGTATCTGAAGTATATCTATTAAGTCTATTTACAATGAAATTATATCCGCTATAATTCGGACTAATCATATATATTGAGGTTGTTCACTTGTAATTTGCACGAGAAAAAAGAAAACTAATATAATCGCTAATGATTGCATTGTAACGATAAATATGTACGATAGACTATCACAGTGTAGCTCGCGTTTGTAATCGTAGAATCTCCTATTGTTCTAATCTTTTGATTATATTTGTTTTTCTTTTTGCCGCAAAATATGGAAGTACTTATTTGCAATTGTTTTGTATCCAATTCTGATAATCATGCTGTCATACAAATGCAGTATTTACGATATAAAAAAATACTAATAGATACTATCATTAGAATTTCTTATTATAGTATATTTGCAAGTGTATTAAAAACTAAGTTAGTCCAAATATAATAATTATCAAAATGCTTTCATATTGTTGAAAGAATAAATGGATACTTGCAAATTTATATTTAAAAAAAAAAGAAAAAAAAAAAAAAAAAAAGAGGAAAAAAATAGGCCACGACAAATTTTTAGTAATCTAGTATTACAGATATTTGATAAAGTAGCATTTAAAAAAAATTAGAGAGTAGAAATAAATTAGACATTCATTTAATAAAGTGTCTATTTATGCGTATAGAACTCTTATGAATTTATCCGTATTGTTTTTCTCGAGTCACATTACAGCATTTACAATAATTATATATTTCAATTTATTTTTGAACTAATTTTCATGAAGTGGAGATAAATCGTGTACAATGTAAACAAAGTATGCTATGAGATGAGGTAAAACATATTTGACATAAAAAGAATGAAGAATAAAACATAACAAATATATTAGATATTTCTCAACTACTTCATGAAAATATGAGCAAGCTGTCACTCATTTGTTAACCATCTATTTATTAAGAACTACTATTGTTTAATATTATTATGCAATGGTAAGAAACTTTAAAAACGATCCCACGTCTTTGCGGTGGCCTGTGGGAGCACAGCTCCGAATAAATCTTATGCATTGTATCTCTATTATTTATTATATTTATAAGCAATGGATATTTTGGTACAATTAAATTTTTTTATTGTATACTTGCCCCTCGCATTTTTTATTTATTTTTTTTATTTAAAAAACAACATATATTTTTTACGTTTTTTTGTTTCAATGAATTGAATCTTATTATTCAATATTATTCTCGATATGCGACGAACAAATCGTCACGGCCTTTTTTCTTTGAAAAAATTTATTCCACTTGCTGCGGGCATGCAGTCAGCACAATGTTAGTATTTGTAGCACATCGGTCTGTACGTTACACGTATTTACCACAGTTTGGTGTATTCGTGTATGTGTGAATGTGTGACTTGTATCTCATCAATAGTACTATATTTTTATATAATATATTGTATTATATATATTTATATATTTACCTAATTTTATTATGTTTTGTTATAGTTATCATTATCATTAATACGAATATATGATACATTTCAAACAACGCCCCTGCTGGCTCTGTTGGAGGCGAGAATCAGAGTAAGGTGGGTCAGTCATGAAAGGACATTAGCCATTTAGAAACTGAAGCAAATGTCACATGCAAAAATTAATATTATAACAATATATTTTATCTATTTCAATTTACATCTTGATCATCTCCTCCTAACCGAGCGCAGCTAAACTTTAGTTAAAGAAGGGACTAACATTCTCGTATTATGTGCTGACACTGAATAAATTGTACAAAT